CAAGCGAAACACACTGAAGCCTAAATCACGCTATCAAAATTCCGAATCATAAACATTGTATATAGAACATCTTCGAAGTATCACGCCGGAGTGTTGGCCGCTCCCCGGGCAGAACACCTTGCCCGGCGGGAGATCCCCCCTTTTCCTTCCCCGGCCACAATTCTATAAAAAATATAGTATTATAGTTAGGATTTACAAGGTAATTAAAAACATAAAAGTAACAAACAGATATCAAGTGGATAAATACAAAATGTCCTGTGTATAATTAAGGACACGGGCCGACATAAAGTTTGTAATTTGATCTCAAATATTGTTCAAACATTAACAAGCGCAAGTATCAAAATTTATGTAAACAATCTAAAGATGAGTGTCTTCACCGCTCGGGCTTCACGCAGTACATGTTGTTGTGTGGTCCAAAATATAACAGTGAGCGCCTATCTAAAACTAATCATCTAATTTAGTAGTTGTCTTATAAACTTCAACCTATTAACTGTATGAATATATAAGTAAGAATATATATCTTATATGTAAAAAAATTGTAGGATAGGGTGACAAACGAGTACAGAGTCCACCTGATGGTAAGTGGTTGTTGTGGCCCACACACTACTACATCTATCCCTGATTAAGAATCAAAATGCAGATACGTTGTCACCCCTGAGGACTAAGATGGAATGCCTCGTTTTCAATAAAAAGGGTCTCTTGTAAATAAAACATATACAGGTCAAATGTTAAGAGAGAAGGAAAAAGAAAAGTTCGTTACTCGTAAGTTTCGTTCTTTATTGGTCGGGCAATTATCAACTTAAATTTCGATTTTCATCTTTTCATATTACACTTAAGCCCTTAAACCCTCCGTAAACTTCTCAGAACAATGACAAATTTAATAATTACCTTTTTACAAAAAGATCACTTATTTGTTATATCGTATATATATCTATATACATAAAAACCTATTGCTGTCTGTTAGTCTTGCTAACTCAAAGACGGTTAGACTGATTTTGATGAAATTATTTGTATGTGTTTGAGAGTGGATCCCTGGATTAGTTAGCTGCGAAGCTAACTAATTTTGTTGATATTGTAGTCGAATCAGTGCGTTTTCATAGTGGTTCTATAAAAATTTAACTAAATTCAATGATTCAGACAAAATTAAAATCGGTGTGGGTTATTTAAACGTACCAAATCACATAAAATTTGTTACACAAAAGGAATATTTATATATAAACAAGTATTGACAAAAAAGGTTTGCGTGATAATGATAAGGGTTTATACCAAAAGAGAATAATGAATTCTTATATTTACGCGAACACTAATTGACACTACTTGAACACACTGAATAAAACTATTCTATTTTATATATATTTTATTTTATTATATTTTAACTATGACATCAAAAACCAGTCAAAAATCTCAGCACCCGAAACGTCAGACATTAAAAATAAGTTAATAAACGCGTTTAAATCTATATAAATAGTTTTATTCAACCAAAAGATAATGAAAAAAAAGTAATAACATAAAAGAATAACATAGAAAATTCTATTAAGGAAAAAGATATATAAAATTTTGCGTGTTTGATGTTTGAAAAATGATTGCTTTTACGTTGTAATTTATATATACACTAGTCGCTTGTTTCCTATATTTTGTACTCCATCCCAAGCCTCAGATATAAGTTACGTTTTTGTTTACACATTAACGCAATCACACTTACGAAACGATCACGTATGCGAAGGCGAATCTTGAGAAGTTCTGTTTGTTTTTTAAATTCCTATCCTACACGCAGTTTAGCAATCAGCTGCTCTCATATTTTGTTATCAGACTACTTCGTTACGATATACACTTAAATGATGCCATCAAAAGTCGGCGACTACTTAAGTTTAATCAGTATTGTTAGTATAGTGTTATCAGTATAGTTTTAAAATGAATTTAAAATTTTATGTTTCACTCTGAAGTTTATGAAAATTGTGCCCCAGTTACATCTTTACCTTATGCACACCCCCAAAGCTCCTAGTCTTTTATTGGCCTCGAAATGTTGCGACGTGTTAAAATGCATTTGTTTATTCCATATTTGTATACATGTGTAGGTACCATTTGTCTTTGAATGAAAGTGCATTTAAATATTTTTAGTTGTTTTTTTTTCTAACAGTTTTGTCTAGGCCCTAGGGCCTCCGCATATCTAAGAAGGCCCTGTGCGTCCCAGTTAAATCTTTGCCTTCTTTATAATCGGCCTGCAAAGTCCATTGTACATGCCTCTCGTTGTAAGAAAGGGGGATTGGCGACGTCATTATCAGACGTCTTATATCTTTGACTTTGTAATAATAATAATAGCCATTTAGTTCCCAATTTTCATACAGCAGTCGATATTAGTTAAAACCAATTACAATATTATTATGAGTCATGCAATTTTTTTAATTTAAATGACATGTTAATACCAGTGTCAATTTTAAATAAAAAGTTTAAATTAAATTTACAAAATTAATTTTTGATTGTTTATAAATAATGTTTGGGTAAATAATCAGTTTATATTTTTAAGTAATTGTCAACTTATTTTGATTTTTGTCACAAAATATATACCTAGTTAGAAGTAATAAAATTGAAGTTAATAATAATCTACTGAATTTGGCTATACACACGAAATAGTATCATAATTTATTATATTAATTTTAATTAATTATGGGATACCCATTTCCGGGTGAAGGCCTCCTCCATCCTTTTCCATGAGGTTCTGTCTGCCGCTAGTCTCGTACACGTTGCTCCTGCCACCTCTACAATGTCGTCGCACCAGCGTGCCCGCGATCGGCCGCGCGACTGCGTCGCATCACGCGGGTATCAATGAAGCACCCGTTCAGTCCATCTCCCATCACTGACTCTTGCCACGTGTCCTGCTCATCTCCACTTCAGTTGACACGCTAATTTGGCTGCGTCTATGATATTTGTTATTTTTCGTATATCACTGTTTCTAAGTCGGTGTCTTAGTTTGACGTTAAGCATGCTGCGTTCCGTTGCTCGTTGGAAAACTTGTAGCTTAGATATTATTTTCCTTGTGAGAGCCCAGTTCTGATATCCATATAATAAAGATGACAGATGTATTGAAAGTAAATTAAGTTTTGCAATAATAGAAATCAAATATATTCATAATGATTTCTTATACTTATCCAAACACTACATATTGATTAAAACTACTTTTACGGATTTTATCGCGTTCAATTTTAAATTATTCTTAATTACCGATGTTTCGTGGTGGTTAGGGTGGACTGAGGTGACTGACTGACTAACTCGAAGTATCTTCAGCTTTTTAATTATTATTTATGGTACGATCTATGCAGAATGAACTTACTGTGTCTTCAAGTCTCGCAGTGGTACGCTTGGGTTTAGTTTTATTTAATTAATTTTAGGGTCCCAAGCAGGTGGTACCCAGCCTCCTTCTCTATTTAAATTAGGAAAAATTAGGATGTTTTTTAATTTCAATAGCCTCACGTATAATCCTTGGTAGAAATCGATGTTATTTCGCGATTGCGATGATTTCGGTGTGGTCTATCAAACGTGATGTAATGGTTGGGGCCGCCTAGGATATGATCAAGTCTGCAGTTTGTGATCATATCCTAATATGCCATTAGGATTTCGGTAACATTGGGAGAGAAATGATGAATACGCCAATTTGAGTTTCGACTTCAATGTCACCTACATGTGGTGCACCCACTGACTGACGTAGGAATCACTAAAGATCGATATTTGTAGAGCAATTCAAATACTTCTTTAGTGCTGGAATTGAAACCTTGGCTTGTAGTGCTACAACAAACTTTTAGCCACTGCATTATCACGGCAATTTAAATTAATTTGTCTCACAGGGTTAATATATGACACGTTTGCCACATCAAGCAAAGATCTTTGTCTCACAGGGTTAATATATGACACGTTTGCATCAAGCAAAGATTTTGGCAGGGATAGCTAGTCTCCGTTGAGACGCGATGCCGTGGCCGAAATTCCGTTTGGAGGATATTATTTACGATAAATTTCTTACTTTGGATTACAGACGTTAGTTAAGTTGAAATATGTATAAATGACTTCAAGAGAAACAAAACCGTTATGTACGTTGATATGAACAACATAATGGATCCTAAGTCTGATGCCGGCATTAGATACACTCGTATTTATTAGAACGGTACCGTCATGGTGTTGGCGAACATTATCTCAATTATATTATAAGAACGATAAACAATAGGGTTCTCACAATTGTGCGTTGAATTCTCAGGGAAATGCATTAACGGATGGTATGTCGTCGGGTTCCATCGATATGGCACGAGACCGGTGGCAGCTACTAACTCGGTTACTCGTTTAAAACTCGATTCAAACTCGTTCTAACATCGATTCGATTCGAAATTTTAATACTGTTTCTAATATTATAGGTAGTACCTGAATGACCTACATAATAGAAAAAACTGAGCTGGTTATTTGAATAAAAAATTATGAGTGCAAAGTTTAATTTAAATTTTCGTGTTTTTAATAAATACCAAAAAAGGGGCTCAAAATAATAGATTTTCTCACAAAAGAAGGGAACTTGAAAAAAATGAAAAGGGGCAGACCAAAGACAGGACTCCAATCAGGCTATTACGATTTCGGGACCACCCGATATCCCATGTAGCTATATATATATATATATATATATTAGACATGTAACGAGTAGTGATTCGCCGAGTACTCGGCCACCGAGTACTCGGCCTAGATTGGGCCGAGTACTCGGCCGAATACTCGGCCGAATGCTCGGCTTTAAAAAACGCGGTAGCGGGTGGCGCGCGGTTATTTCCCTTACACAGAGACAGAGTAACAGCGCGATATTGCAGCGCGACGAATCTGTGCACGGGGAATTCCCTTTGAGCGGGGAAAACCGTAACTTCATAATTTATCAACTCATTTGTCACTTTTGTACGTGTATTCACGGAGAAGAGGTTATGCTTGTGTGTTTAATTAATTATTTTATGTAGACAACGCGTAATTTATAATATAACAAAATGTCAAGTAGTGCGAAAAGGTCGGGTGTTTGGAAATACTTTGTGGAGGTTGATAAAAACAAATCTAAGTGTAATTTGTGTGGAGTTCAACTATCACGTGGAGGTATGGGAAAAACTGCGACTACTTCGTCCATGAAAAGACATTTGCAGACTAAACATAAGTCGGAGTATGAAGAGGTTTTTGGTACTACAAGTATTGCTTCAAGTAGCAAAGAATTTGTCTCTCAGTCCAGTCAATCACAAGTGAGTGGTTTTTTGAAGCAGCCGTCTTTAGAAGATATGTTAGAAAAGAAAAAGTTGTGGGATATTAATGATTCTAGAGCAAAGAGGTGCCATTATTTAATCGGTGAAATGATCGCAGTGGATAACGAGCCATTTTCTATCGTGGAAAGTCATGTAGGGTTTCGCCGGTTTGTCAATAATATTTTACCGCAGTACGAGATACCAAGCCGAATATATTTTAGCGAAAATGTAATTCCAGATATATATAACAAAGTGGTGAACAATATCAAGTCAAGATTGGCACCGGTCAACCACATCTCTTTTACTACAGACATGTGGACATGTCAAACTAACAAAACTTGTTTCCTCAGTTGTACTGCCCATTGGTTAGAAGAAAGTTATATGCTTGGTCATGCAGTGCTAGATATAAAGGTTTTCCCAGAGAGTCATACGGCAGAAAACATAAAGAAAAGCTTACTCGATTCGGTTTCCGATTGGAACATACCAGCTACGAAAGTACGTGCCGTTGTACATGACAATGCAGCAAATATAACAAAAGGTGTGAAAGACGCAAACTTCCCTTCTTTTCGTTGTTTTATTCACACTCTGCAATTAGTAATTAATGACGCTATAGACGCTAATACTTCTGTTAAAGAAACAATTTCTGCTGCTCGACGAATCGTGACACATTTCAATCACAGTGGTTATAACAAACTTCACGAGATTCAAGAGGAACTTGGCCTTCCAAAAAGAAACTACATCAAGATGTTATTACCAGATGGAACTCAACTTATTATTTACTGGAACGTATTATTGAACAGAGACGAGCTATTTCTGTCTACTTCGCAGAATCTCGAAATTTGAATTTTGAAAACTTGTCAAGCGATCAATGGGAAATAGTGTTGCAGTTAATCATATTATTGAAACCTTTTGAAGAAGTGACGAAAATAACTAGTAGCACGTATTCTCCTATTTCCGATGTAATTCCGCATGCTGTCACATTGATGAGATATTTACGAAAAGAAGAACTGTCGGAGAAAACGTATCAAGTTGATGATTTTAGAAATGCCCTCGTAAGCAATATGAACAAAGTCACGCGTTTCAATCTTGAATATTTGTTTGAAAACAGAACTTATCTCCTTTCGACCTTTTTAGACCCACGCTACAAAATCAACTTTTATAATGCTTATCAAGCAGATCAAGCTCGCAAGGCTGTCCTAAGAGAAGCTCTAAAAATATCGCTAGACACAGAAGATGATGAACTTGTCATTGATGCAGAGCCAGCAGAAAAAAAAGCTAGAATGATAGATAGAGATCATACTGCTTCTGAAGCTCATAATCTATTCTGGGAATGTTTTGAAGAAGCCGCTGACGCATCAACTAGTTACCAGCCTAATGATCCTAAGAATTCCGCTGCAGCAGAGTTAGATCATTACTTAAGCGTACCAAGGGCCGCAAGAGATGCAAATCCATATAAATGGTGGGTTTCTAATAAAGTTCATTACCCCATCTTGGGAAATATTGCGGCTCAATACTTATCAACTCCAGCCAGTTCAGTTTACAGTGAACGGCTTTTTTCAGAGGCGGGCTTAATATATGAAGCAAAAAGGAGCAAACTAGACCCAAATAGGGCCGAAAAGCTAGTGTTTTTGCATCACAATCTTCCTCTCTTAAATTTTAAATATTAGTAAGATCATAATTTCTATTATAGATTCTTATTTACGTTTTCAATATTTCTGCTGTTTGTCATGTTCCTGATGTTTTAATGTGTCTAATATAATAATAATGATAATAACTGGCTTTTTGTCTTTATTTTTCCCTGCAATATAATTAAGGCCGAGTACTCGGTAATCGGCCCTTAATATTCGGTGCTCGGCCGAACCCTAAAAAACGGCCGAATCCGCCGAGTACCGAATCCAAACCGAGTACTCGTTACATGTCTATATATATATATATATATATATATATATATATACAAGAATTGCTCGTTTAAAGGTATTCGATTAGTAGTTAAGAAATAATGCTTAAATAATGTTACTTGATTTTATGTATAATTCATATTGTGTGTTTATAGAAACAAGAGAGATGAAGTTTGAAGCGACAGAGGGCAACAAACATGGAGGTGGGCAGCTGCCTCTTCAGCATTGCCACGCTTGACATCTTTGAAAAAAAGGTGACTCTTAAGTTTCGTCCACGGTATTCGAAAATTTTCTTCCTCAACGATAGCCGATTCTCTAAAATATGGCGAATCCTTCGCCACATTCATATTATATTATGTATTTGTTTACATATTTAACCTTAAACTAAGGAATATAAAGGGTGGACTTAATGTCCTATGGCATTCTCTGCCAGTCAACCCTGGATGATTTGAGCAACTGTGGCAGGTGTAAACATTCACCTCGTGTATTTAATATATAAGTTATAAGGATATAATATAAAATAAAATGCAAATAAATTGAATATAGTTAATATTAAATATACATACTTAATATATAATAAAGAATAAGTATATAAACGGGTACTTCCATACAAAATGTATAAATAAATAAAATATTATGATACAAAAATAATCACATATAAAGTGAAAGAGAAAAAAATCAATAGTCGGATAAGTCAGGTGGTATTATTCTTACGTTAGAATTCTCGAACAAGTCTTTTAAAATAATTCTTGATACTAGTTTTCTTGATATCAACAGGCAAAGCAATTACAGAGCAGTATGGAATGCACATTAAAAGAGGAATTAAAGAAAACACTCCTATGTAGAAGCCTTGAACGACTTAACCACTTCGTTCAAGGTAGAAGCATACCGCTTCTCGCATTGCGAAGTTACCCTCCCGTATGGGGCAGTCCAGGCGAAAGGCATATATTCAGCTGTACCTAGACCTTTGATAGACTGTAACGAATAGTACGAGTATGAGATTTGAAATGAATCGAGTGTGTAGGTTGCAATAGTAGGCTATACTTAGGTATACAAACTTGATCTCAAAAGTTGTGAGTTCGAATCCGCCATTCGTCTAATGTGGTGTGGTAGTTCTACCACTGCTATAACAAACATTTTAAGATTATTCGGAGTCATTTACATCGTAATTTTAGTGAAAATTCTAATGTTTTTCTTATTAACTAAATATATTGCGGACTTAAACTAATTAATACGTTTGTAAATTTTGTAATTAAGGAGTTTATGAAGGTATTATGTGAAAAATTGAAAATTTTACAAAAATGAACACTAGTGTTTTGTTTTAGATATTTCGTTAATGTGTTAGTCTTAAAAATAAACTTTACCTTAACTGATTCATATAATATTTTTAGAATTTAGTGATAAAATAAAAGAAAATTGTCATAAAAGGTTTGAACGTATCACTATTTTTCAAATATTTGTTTAGGAACATAACCTGTCATACCTTTATGCCTGTTATACCTTTACGTAAGGGTTCTTTTCCTTTAAAAGATTAGACTTGCGCGCATCCTCATGACGATTTCTTCAATTGCTAGTTAACGATGAATCGACACCTATAATGTAAATTAATTATTTGGATGGCTTTTACGTGGCCTGAGCTACCATAGTTTCTTGATTTAAAAGTTTGAAAATAAAGTAACCTAAAAATAATTATAGTTTCGCTTCATTCTTCGAAAACATGAGAAATTTTGAATATAACTCATAGTAATCATGAACATAATGTACTCGTACGTTACATCAAACAATGGGTCGCTGACAAATGCAGTGTCCCCGATTTGTCAGCGTTGCCGGAGATTTGTCAAGCTTTGCCTGATAACTGTCCGCCGACCACCGTGGTAGCGATCGCAAGATTAATATTGACAACCTCGCTTCTGGTATAAGTCGTTTTAAGAAAAACTCGTGAAGTTATTCTTTAAGCAATAGAAGTATGTATAAGGGTAAAAAAAAATATTGTGTTAACCGTGTAGTGCTGATGTAAAGATATCCACAACCCCATACGGGTGTTGTAAGGGGTGACAAAAGAAAACAAATAAAAAGCTGATAGGCAGTGTTTTCCTAATAACAATAAAAAATGCGGTTGCGAACCCGTCTGCCAAGCGTGCCAGAGGTCGATAACGATAACGTTTATGGTGGTGGGAAAAAGGAATCCAACACAACAATACATTCGAATTAAAGACGAAGGATGGCGATTTTTATGCAATTTGCCTAATATCTCTTTTATACAGCAAGAGCCACTTTTAGCTATATTATGGGTGCAGCTGAAGGTCTTGAGTATGGATAAATTTCTCAAGGAATACCAGACTAATACATGAGTATGATTCTTTGCTGTTTCATATGATATTGGGAATTATTGTTATCATTTTTATACATTATTATATAAATATAGATTATTGGAAACCTTTTTTCTGGAAACGAGGCATTCCATCTGAATCAAATGGGTCAGCCCTACCGGGGTGGGACCACGCTCTCATAGAAACAAAAGAAAGTCAGCGTGAAACAAAAGAAAAATGTTCGTCTGGTGAGTGTAGAATAACCGGAGACCCATTTTACTCTTAAAAGGCATTCCCCGCCTCAATACTCACGGGTGACAACGCATCTACATTTTGTTTCTTAAGGGGAAATATAATGTCAAATGGCTTAGCAAGATCCTTCGTTATGCCGAAAATATTGCAGCATTAATTTTGAAATAAATATATGGCAAAGTTGAGGATTCAATGTTAATGATTATGTTAGACGAAAACACGATTTCGTAAAATTTTCTCGATAGAAAAAAAAAAGTACCTCCAAAATAAACAATAAACCGCTGTTATTCATAAAATACTTTAAATAAGATCATGAAACTTTGCATACTAACTGAACTAACTATAAAGCAGTGCTTATGTTATTTACTTTTTTTAAAATACCATTATTTTCACTGTAAAAAGTAATTACCTAAACTATCGGCGTCTTGAGCTTGATTCCAGTCGCCCCGTTAGTATCGCTTAGGCTTTTGAAGGGAGAAGTTGTGTCGCTTACGATCAGAATATACATTACGCAACAGTACGACGTAAAATTAAAATGGGAAATAACCGTGATAAAAATAAGAAGCGGCTGGCTTGGCGTTAAGAAACAGGCATAAATATGATAAACCTAATGAAATAAGTATCTAACGACCTAACTACTTACAGTATTAGTGATTACAAACATATCGGTACATAGCATACGACGCGCGGTGAAGTGGGGGCGAAATTAGAATTCGAGCTGACTTACTCTATCCTCTTAATCAAGGTTTGCTGTAAATGTTTATGGTCGGTAGTTTCCATTTACTATCAGTAGGTCTGTGTGCTCGTTTGTCACCCTTATTTTATAAAATCATAATTTTTAAATTAACAATTTCTCTGTACGCGAAACAGATACAATAGTCAAACAATTGAAAAGTTTATATAAATGAAGAACATATTATAAATAATAAATATTGACATTAGTCTTGTATTCACATCTATCTGCACTCCGAGCAACAATTATATACATTTTATAAGGTTTATTTATTAAGGCGTCCACCGCACATATCGTAAGTACGTAATAACGAATAACATACGTGAAGGCAAGTTGTACTGGCTTGCAGGAACTGTGAAGACTGTAGAAGACGATTCTCAGGGGTGAATGGTAGGGGTTCTTAAGGATAAAGACGAAGGCTTGAAGGTGTAATTTCCGAAAGCTGTTGGTTGCGTGTTCACATCATGTCGGGATCACCACACTGTAGCCGTGGAAGAAAAAGGGGAGATTTCCTGTCAGGGAGTGGCCTACTCTCCATGTGATAACTCGGAGCTATTCTATATATACTATTTACTTCGAAATTTTGATAGCGCGATTTAGGCTTCGATGTGTTTCGCTTGTGGTGCGACGACAACGCCGCCACATACGTAT